TTTGTCAATTCCTTCAATGCACCTTGGACTTCCTCCTTGAGTATCATTGGCTCTTGATCATATGCTACCTCTTGAAATGGTTGAACATTAACCATTTCCATTTGGTACAGTGACTCTGTGTATTCCTTCCATCTTCTCTTGATGCTTTCTGCATCATTCAGTAATTTGCCCAGTGAATCTTACAATAACAAAAGTCGAGGCTTAAATTTTTTCTTCAGTTCCCCCAGCTTGAGAAATGCTGAGTGTATTCTTCCTTTTTGGTTTTCTGATTCCAAGCCTTTGCACATTTTATTATAATATTTGGCTTTATCTTCTCGAACTGATCTTGTAAATTTTCTGTTCAGCTCTTGGACCTCCTCATTTCTTCCATTTGCTTTACCATCTCTACACTGGAAAGCAATTTTCAGAGTCTCTACTGACATCCATTTTGACCCATTCCTTCTTTCTTGTCTTCTTAATGACTTTTTGCTCTCTTCACATATGATGTTCTTGATGTCTTCCCACAACTCTTCTGGTCTTCGGTCTTTAGTGTTTAATGTATCACATCTGTTCTTCAGATGGTCTTTAAAAGGACTCCTTAAGAGGTATCAATTAACAATTGGTTCCCTGGCTCAAACTCTGATGTAGCTTGGTATGGGATTAAGTTCTGTGGCCTACACACTAATGTAGTTAGCAGGTGAGGCTGGAGAGGTCAGAGGGGCCTGAACATTGAAGTAGAGGAGACTCATCAATGTGTTTTAGAAAGATCTTTTTCATAGTTATGGTGTGGCACTGTAGGATAAGCACTGGACTGTTAACTAAAAGGTCAGCAGTTCAAACCTACCAGCCGCTTCCTCAGAAACTCTATACAGGCTCACTACGAGTTGAAACTTAACAACACTTAACAGAGAATGTGTTGGCAGGAAGAGGAAGAAGTTGGAGGTCTTTTAAAAGGCATTTGTACTGGGCTGATGAGGTTGAACTAAGGCAGTAACTGTAGGAATAAAAGAAGATGGAATAAGAAAATAGCATGACTTTCAAACTTGGTAAGAATCATGTGTTATGTGCTGTGGAGTCGGTTCCGTCTCATAGTGACCCTGTACAGGGTTTCCGAGGCTGTAAATCTTTACTGGAACAGAAAGTCTCATCTTTCTCCCGTGGAACAACTGGTAGTTTCAAACTACTGAGCTTGAGGTTTGCAGCCTGATTCGTAACCACTACACTATCAGACCTCCTCAGGCTTGTTAAATACAGGTAGTCCCTATATGTTGTTGTTGTTGTTAAGTGCCATCGAGTCGGGTCCGACCCATAGCGACCCTGTACAGGGTTTCCGAGGGTGTAAATCTTTACGGGAGT